TTAAATAATACTATGCTGAACATTTTCTTTTGTAGATTTTTGACATACTTGCTATATTTTTCTTAATGTGCAGGGTCAAACCATGTACACTTTTAGGAAACTTTTGGTAACGGTGTATGTCCAAATGCTCCCCCTACCCCCAGGAAGTGTTGCTCCAGTTTACAGTCCCTCCAGCCATACACAGACAGTGACCCTGCATCACCCAAACTGACAGTGCCATCTTGGTATAAGCATTCGTTCTCAGCTGCCATCTTCAATATTGCCAATTATGTTCAAGATTCGAGTTTATTGTGGAAGTTCCCTTGGCTGTTTTTCAGCTCTTCATTTTCATCTCAGATAAACAAATGTGTGATTTGTTGATAGTATCTGTGATTATCTTTGACGGAAGATTGCTGCTTGCCTAGTTTTTCAGAAATTCAAAACAATTTATGAATGGTGGTTTATTCTACTAATACAGGATTTATCGTCTTGTATTATGGTTAGTTGGGATTTAGGTACAAAGAAAGCAGGATATAGTTCTCCCAAGTGAAGTAGACTGACAAATGAGGGCTAGCAAAGGGCTCCAGAACAGGAAGGCTAGAGTCTTCAGAAGACCATGATCAAGTGGAGGAAAGCTGTTGGAGAGGAAGTCAGATGCTATAAGCAGCCCACAGCTGGTAGCCTTTCTGTCTCTACTTAAGAAAAAATAAAAATCTATTTGTTGTTGTTGTATTCAAGGCAGACTCGTAATAATAAACTCTTCCCTTTGTACAAACGTAGACTGTCTCTTAAGGGATTTCCAAGGGACTGATGATAGCAGTCATCTAAGGGCGCTGAAGTGGGAGGAAATGTCTTTTTCGGGGCATAGCCTTTTGTACTGCGTGAATTACTTACTGCATATACTCTCACTTTTTCAATTTTTTAAAGCTAATTTTTTTTTTAAAAGGCTTACTCGAAAACAACTCAAAAGATAGCTGGCAACCTTAGGAGACAGTGATTTGATGTTAATGAGGGAGGAACAACTGAGAAGAAGGGAGGGGAGGGGGTGAGAACAGTTGCACAACTCAGAATGTAATCACTGTCACTACATAGAAAAACTGCTGACTTTTGGTGTATGTTTTGCTATGTGTATTCGAATAAACAGCAAAACAAATACAGTTTAAAGAAAAAAATTGAATTGATTTATACAAGGGAGCTTCAAAGAGTTCCTGGGGGAAATGGGATTAAAAGTAAGAGAACTAACTAAAAAATGGGTAGACCTTTTTTTTAAGTTTTTATTGTGAATTATGTGATAGTTTACATGAGAGAACATTAGCTTTATATTCATTCTATTGTATTTCAATTCATTTCAATGATTACAATTCCCTCCATGCATCATCAAACAAGCCTGTCTCCTGAGTCCAGAGTCCCCAGTTGCTCCATCTCTCCATGTCATCATCTCTGCATCCATCTCTGGCATCACTGCTTCTCTGGGTAGGGTCCTGCACTCCACTCTTTTCACTTGATGGTCCTAGGGACCTCCGCTCCTAGATTTCAAAATTAGCCACTCCCCTCATTTTGTTACAAAACATCTACCTTCCTGATAGCAGTTATTCACTATTGAACCACAAGAGTCTTATCCCCATCTTCTTTCATCCCGACAGATTGGAGACCACTCAGTGGAGATTCTACCCTCTGGAACTAGGCTCCCTCTTGAAAGCTTGCCTTTGTAGCCCTTTCCCCCACCCATTTTGGGTAGCCAATGTCTAAGTTGCTCATCCCTGTCAACAAAAATGGGTAGATCATTTGTGCTTACAAAGCAGAAGATATAATGTCAGGGAGGAAACAAATCTTAAGTCAACCAAAAAGAAAAAAAAAGCCTTACCTTTGCTTGTGTTAACATTAGGAGAAGCTGGGCGAAGAGTACATAGAGACTGTACTATCTTTGCAATTCTTCTGTCAAAATTTTAAAGTTAAAAAAAAAAAAGGGAAGAAAGACCATAGACTCTTCCTGTATGGAATCCTGCCCCCCGAAGCAGTTTTCTACCTTTTAACCTTAAAGATCACCCTGCTCTCACTCATAATTTTGCTGAACTCCTGGCTACCTAATTCAGTACAGCGGTCTTAGCCAGCTTTCACTGTTTTTATTGGAGTCAGACTGTTATTTCATATTTTATAATGAACATCAACTGGCAAATGCTTTCAAGTTCACAACAAATCGGTGAGGAGAGGGGTTAAAAAACCACCCTATTACTATATTGCTTTTAAGACTGACCAAGCTATCCATCTTGGTCAGTCTTAAAAGCAATATGTTCACAACTCTGAACTTTTTTTTTTTTTATGTGATAGTTTACATGGGAGAACATTAGTTTTACATTTATCCTATTGGATGTTGTTTCGTTGCCATGGTTACAATCCCTTCCACACATCACCAGTCAACCAAAGGGTACATCTTATAAGCCTGCTCTTCCTTCCCCAGCCCCTCTCCCTCCCTGGGTCCTGAGTCCCCAGCTGTTCCATCTCTCCACATCATCATCTCTGCCTCCATCTCGGGGATCGCTGCCTCTCTGGGTAGGGTTCCACTCTCCACTCTTCTCCCTTCATGGTTCCAGGGACCTCCACTCCTAGCCTGCAAAGTTAATCACTCCCCTCCTTGCCACAAAATGTCTACTTTTACATTTACAACCTTCACAAGCAGTCCTGGTAACAATTATTCACCCTTGTATCACAAGAGACCTATCTGCATTTCCTTTAATCAGTCTCGCCTAGACAGATTGGATACTAAGTGGAGATTTCTACCTTCCTGCACGCCCTTTAGATCTAGGTTCCCTCTTGAAAGCTTGTAAGCCAGTCACTTCTTGCCTTTGTAGCCCCTCCATTTTGGATAGCCAATGTCCAAGTTGCCCATCCCTGTCTACTCTGTGTGTGGAGGGGGTAGGAATGATCCTTGCTGTAAAGATTTGTTCCCTCTTTTGAGTTGCTGCATCCATAGGTGTAGGTCAGGTTCATCAGATTTTATCAGATTACTCTTTTTTTCTCTTCTTTCTTATTCTAGTTGCACTATGATCACCCAGTCATTGAGGCTAGGTCAAATGGGTATTATCTGCAAGTGTGGGTGCTCTTGTGGATATGCCCTCTCTTCTTATCCACTGGACACTTCACCCTCCACTCCAGTCCTCCATGGCTATGTCACTGACTCTGGGCCCAAGAGTCCCCAGGTCTTGCCACACTGCTGGCCAACGAGGTTTCCACCTGGGTTCACAGGAGCCTGTTGAATGTTGTAGGGTTTAGCTCGCAGCCTCTTAGCTGTTTTTCCCTCACTTCCCCTTGTCGGTGGCAAACGTGGTCACCCATCAGAGTGTGTATTCCCATTGCACAACTCTAAACTTTTAAAGCCGTTTTTCTTAATTTGTGGTCCACATAAAAATGCAGATAAGTCTATGTTTTTGGCAAGCTCCGTTGATGATTCTGATGCCCTAATAAAACTAAATTTCAGAAAGAATCATCAGAGAGAAAGTGTGTGTGTTATTTAGCTCGGTGGGTAGAGGGGCTACAGAGTCAAGGTGACCAGCCTTTAGTCTATGGCCTTCAAGAGGGAGGAAATGAGGGTCTGAAATAAAGCAGGAGTAAGAGGTATGGACAGAAGAGGCAGATGCAGAAACTCATTTTAGATGGTGGTTCAGGTGTGTGGACAGCAACAGTCCTTGTTGTTGAGACCAGGAACTGGAAGGGCAGTGAGGTAGGCAGCTTTTCTAATTCCTTGAGAAGGAAAGAGATGTTTTGGCTAGCATTAGTGGGATGAATTTTTTGAGGCCAGAAATTAATCTTTCTGGCCTTTGATTTTCCAGATGTGGTGCTGTAGGATAAACACTGGACCACAAGTTTGGTTTGACCTGCAGGGTTGATGGATCAAGCTCCTCAGAAACCCTGTGCAGGGTCGCTGTGAGTTGGAATTAACTCCATGGCACACCACCACCACCCATAGTTTATGAGGTGTCTTTAAAAAGTTTCTGGAAAAATTCTTTTACCTCTTAATTCCATTTTTCCACCAAGTTTTTGCAGCCCCCTTGTATATTCAGTTGGTGGTAGCAGATAATACACAAATAAACAAATGCACATTATATATGTCAAGTAGCTAAGTCCATGAAGAGAAATAAAATGGAATAAAGGGGTGGAGAAAGAAATGGGTCTTGGGAGCCCTGAGAATGTAATTTTAATAAGATGGTCCGTGAAGGATTCTTTGAGATGTTTGAGAAAGACCTGAATGAAATAAGGACTGAGATGAGCTATGAAGTTATCTATAGGGAAGGCATTCTGGAAGAGGGCACAGTGAAAGCAAAGACCCTGAGGGGTGGGATAGGTCTGGCTATGATCAAATGACAGCAAGGTGGCCATTGTGGCTGAAGCACGTGAGCAGGGAGGTAGAGAATAGGCAGCAATGAAGCCAATAGTTTTGGGAGAAGGTTTCCGCAGGAAAATATACTGGTAAAGTAGCTTTCTGGCAAAGGCATGCTGTTGCTTTAAGGAGAAATGAGAATTGATGAAGCATTTTGGTACTTTATTTCTTCTACTACAAATACTGTTAACTGAAAGGTGAGAGGTTTGAATCCATCCAGAGGTGCATTGGAAGAAAGGTCTGACAATCTGCTTCTGAAAAACCAACCATTAAAAACCCTGTGGAGCGCAGTTCTACTCTGACACATGTGGGATAGTCACACCCACTGGTGGTGGTGGATATTGAAGAGAGGAGCTACAGCCTGAAGTGGTTGGAAGCACACTGATCCAGAAGTGGGAAGATGTGGCTCCTGTATTACAGTCTTTGCCCTCGTGTTAATTACTTGACTCATGTGGCTCATTTCTGAAATGCAGCATGGGTGCCCTATAGCCCTCTTGGGGTGTTTGTGAGGCAGCACCTACAAGTGTCCCAGGTTTCTCAGAGGGAGGATGACTCTGGGTCAGATAAAGCAGATGTGAAGGTGATGCCCCAGGGTGATGGTCACCTCTTTCCCCCATTCCAACTCAGCCTCTCTTCTTTCCAGCAGGATTGGTTATCATGGTCCATGCTGCTTTTCTCTCTCATATGTGAATTGAGAGCCTTCTATGTCCCTGGGGTTGCTCCGATCAACTTCCACCAGAACGACCCTGTAGAAATCAAGGTAAGTGAATTCTTAAACTCTTGGAGCCCCCTGTGTCAGGCATTCCACCTGGAGAACCACATGTTGGTGTACATCCTGTGGTTGCAGAGAAATCAAGCCCAGTGGCAGTGCACAGGCGGGAACTAAAGTGCCCGCAGGAGCTGAGCAGGCCCAGGAACTTCTGACCCTCCATCTCTCTCTGTACCTGTGGTTCTCTGCAGCTGTGAGTGTATCCTTTCTCTTTGTGTCTCTCTCTACTGTCTCCTTTTCTGATTCTTTCTGTGCCACCATCTCTGTGTGCATGTGTCTCTCTCTCAGGCTGCCTCCTCCTCTAGGTATCTCATCTTCCCTCTTTCATCTGCCCATCCTTCTCTGTCTTACCAGCTTTCTCTAACTCATACTCAGGCAATTAGGGCCTTCCTTTCTGCGTTTTTGATGTTAGCTTTCTCCATCGCCACCTGAGTTCTCCAGGTCATTATTTGCAAATCATGTGCTACAAACCGAGTGGTGGTATATAAATGTTTTTAAGTGACTCATAAATATGTTACATTTTAATGATTCTTTTCTTTTAATGTGTACAAGTAAACATAGCTAGTGCATCAGCTCATAATTTTCCATTTTTTTAAGAGATGTAATGTTTGCTTGAGTCAGTTTGAATTGCAAGGTTGGTGGTTCAAACTCACCAACCGATCCTTGAAAACCCTATACAGGGTCGCTATGGGTTGGAACTGACTCGACAGCCCTTAACAGTGTTTGTTTATTAACTAAATACATTAAAGTAAAAATTTAGTCAGATACAAGGAAATAGTAGGATAAGTGGTAAGTAGACAGGGCGGGGCAAGTTGGGGTCCAACTGGCTCACGTCACCTTTCAAGCTAGATGCTCTGCCTTGGGCCCTCAGCCATGGCAAGGATGCAGGGTTTCAAGTGGAATCTTCTGGTTGAGCAGGGGCATTGGGTAGGCTGACACCTCGATTAATGTCTCTACAACTGTAGATTCTTGGTGGCATTCTCAGAACCCAGTTGGGGGAGTGTCATCTTGAGTGTTCACAGGGAAAAGACTCTGACGTAGCAATATTTGTGCAGGAGATTTATGGAGGAAACTCTAAAGTCAGCATTTGTAAGGGAAGTGGGATTGGGTGGAGGGAAAAGTTGAACAGTAAGGGTCCATAGGAGGCTCTGGAGCTGGAATGGCCCTTCAGAGTTATTTCAAATTGAGGCAATTTGAAATCGGCTACAGGCCATTCCCAGTGAGAGAGTGGAACTTTGTACAAGAGCATCAACTGTCCTTTTCCTGAGCTGAAGGGACTCCTGTACCATCAGTATTACTACTGTTAATGCTCTGGTTAATTTTTCCCTCTCTTTGTTTCTGTGAAGTGTTTGTAGTGTAGGATACGTGGCCTTCTCATGCCTCCAGAAATCCCCAATTTCTTGACTGCCACATAAACAAAATGTGGTTGAAATTTTTAAGAAGCCCTTCAGATCTTTAGTGAGTCTATCATAACATATTGTTGTTGTTAAGTGCCGTGGAGTTGGTCTTGACAAATAGCCAACCTATCTGGGGTTTCCAAGGAGCAGCTGTGGGTTTGAACCACCAACCTTATGGTTCGCAATCCAGTGCTAGTCCTTTTTTTGTTGTTACGTGCTGTTGAGTTGATCCTGACTCATAGCGACCCTGTATTATACGGTTTGATGATTTATGGTTGGTGTTGGTGGTTCAGAGTAGCATTCTCACCCTCCGTGGGAGACCCAGATGTAATTCCTGTCTAGTGTGCCTCATGTGCAGGCAACACCTGGTTGTCAGTGGGAGTTTCATACTGTTGTGTTGATGAATAGGTTTCCACAGATCTTTCAGACTATGACAGACTAGAAAGAAAAGCTTGGTGATCCACTTCTGAAAATCAGCCAGTGAAAACACCAGGTTTTCAACATTCTGACCTGCATCTGATCTCGCAGAAGGCACAGGACACGACAGTCTTTCTTGAGGTTGCCATGAGTCGGGGTCAACTCACAGCAGCTAAAAACAACAACAAAGATCATTTTATTTACATTCCAATTAAAATGTCAGTTTTTCAACATTTTGATTGGTTCTATTTTATCCACGGTATTGGGGCTGTCTCTGAGTTCCTCCCGTATCTTGTCCAACTTTAACCCAGATATTTGAGTTGACTGTAGTCTAAATCATGAATGTTAAATCGATAAGATTTTATTGCATTCTTTTACCTAGCGATTCACCATAGCACCAGGTTAACAAAGTCAACCAAGTTTCTTTACTATACAACTTCTTAGAGTCCTTTAGTATGCTTGGGTATGTTGAAGGGATTGCTGGTTAAATATAACATTTGTTCAGAAAGCATCTGTCACTGTTTCCAGAGCTATATTCTCTGTGTTTGCATCATTTCCTAATCATTTCCCTTCATGGTCTTCCTAAGCCTTGTTTTTAATGGCTGCATAATAATTTTATTGAATGACTAGACTGTATCATATTCTTTTGATTGATTTACTATAGTAGGGGCTTTGGATTGTTTTTAGTTTTTTTCTCTTGATTCTCATTGAGCAAACATTTAATGAGCCACCTACTCTGTGCCTACCTCTGTAGGTACGGGGATTACAGAAGTGACCAAGATGCTCATGGCCCTTGCTGTCATAGAATTTAGATCTTAAATTTGAATGTGAGAGACTGATTTGAAAAAAAACAACAGGTAAATAAAACAGTTACCTTGTCACACATGCTATGAAGGAAGCTAAGTGCTGAAATAGAGAATGGTAGGATAGCGCTTCAGATGAGATGGACAGCAAAGGCCTCCTAGGTGAAGGGCTTCAAGCTGAGACCTAAATTGGACAAGGAGTAGGACAGAAAGGGCAGAAGGTTCAAAGCCCGTGGCAGGAGAGAACTTAATGTGTTCAAGTAACTGAGGAGAGACCACTATGGGTATAAATAAGGAGCAAACCTCTTTTTACCTTTAGTGGTTCCCTCATTTGTAGTTTTTTCTTTAGAAAAGATTCGCAGGAGTGGAGTTACTGGGTCAAAGGATATCAGCAACTCAGTATATATTGAATTTGTTTGTGGGTTTAAATCTGTAATATGAGGGGGCTTCCAGAAGTTCATGAAAAAATTCCATTATCTTTTCATTCCATTTTTTCACAAATTTTTTGAAGCCTCTTGTATAGCCTAAAACTAATGAGCTATAAAATAATTGAGAATTGTGCTCAGTATGCTGTAGTCTGGTGTCTCCTGCAATTAGTTAATTAGATTAGACTGTCAAGTGTACTAAGGATGCACGAGTACCAGGGGGTGCTTACTGTAACAGTCATCTTGGTGCAAGAGATTGCTGCTGGATTCAGAAATAACGGTCTCTTTTCTCTCCAGGCTGTGAAGCTCACCAGTTCTCGAACCCAGCTACCTTATGAGTACTACTCACTGCCCTTCTGCCAGCCCAGCAAAATAACCTACAAGGCAGAGAATCTGGGTAAGTCCTTCTGTAATACTGCTGTCGGTCTGTCTGTACTCTTTTCATGATAATAATGGCAGTTAGCCCTTCAGTAGCACTGACTGTGTGCTAGGCACTGTTCTGCTTCATTTCTATATATATGAGGGATTTTTAAAGTTTGTGGAAAAATTCCGTTATCTTTCAGTTCTATTTTTTCATGATCTTTTTGAAGTCCACTTGCATTCATTCAGTTAATCCTTTGATAACCATCCTGGGGAGGTCGTTACTGTTTTTATCCCCTTTTTATCAGTCCTGGCTTCAGAGATGGAACCCTTGGCTAGTACTCAGCATTGGCTCTCCCTTCATTTCTAAGTTAACTCTGTCTTCTGACTTTTGTCATCTAGTGTGTTTTTAAGGAGCCCTGGTGGTACAGTGGTTAAACACTTGGCTGTTAACAGAAAAGTCAGTGGTTAAAACCCACCAATGACTCTACGGGAGTAAAGACGTGACAGTCTGTTCCCATAAAGATTACAGCCTAGGAAACCCTATGGGGCAGTTCTGTGAGTCAGAATTAACCTGATGGCAATGGACTGTATATTAGTCATATACAACAGCAATAACTGTGTGCTTTTAACTGAAAAAGTGATTACCTTTGGCCTTAAGCAAGCAGAGAAACCACCATAGTTGGTATTAAATTGTACAGGTCTCATTTCAGATAATGTGTGAAGCCCCCAGCACAGTGCCTGGCTCTTTCATAAATAGAGCCATTTGATACTAATTTCAATAATTCTCCAGTTGGTAAAATTTCTTTTAACGGAAAAGACACTTGGAGGTATCTATTCGTGGTGGTGGTGGTGGTGTGCCGTGGAGTTGGTTCTGACTCATAGTGACCCTGCATAGGGTTTCCAAAGCTGTAAATCTTTATGGGAACAGAAAGCCTCATCTTTCTCCCGCGGAACCACTGGTAGTTTCAAACTGCTGACCATGAGGTTGGCAGCCCGACTCGTAACCACTGCACTACCAGAGATCCTTCATCTATTCATGTCGGTGTTGTTAGGTGCCATCGAGTTGGTACCGACTGATAGTGACTGTATGCACAGCAAAACGAAACACTGCCCTATCCTGGGCCAACCTCATTATCATTGCCACACTTGAGCCCATTGATGCCACTCCGCCAATCCATCTTGTTGGGGGTCTTCCTCTTTTTCTCTGACCCTCCACCCTACCAACCAAACATGATGTCCTTGTCCAGCAACTGTTCCCCCCCTGACAATATGTCCAAAGTATGATGAGAGACGAAGCTTGGCCAATCTGGCCTCCAAGGAGCACTCTGGCTGCACTTCTTCCAACACAGATCTGTTCAGTTCCTGCCTCACAGAAATGAGACTTTAATGGGAGCGGCTGTGTGAAAAAGTTGTCCTGCCATGTTCCATCCATATCCATCTGTGGGGCTCCCTGTATGGTCTAGGGACTCTTTAAGAGGAAAGTTATGTCTTACAGTCCTCTCTTTTCTCAGCTTCATTCCCAGTCCCTCAGACATAGCAGGCATTCAGGAAATGTTAAATGTCCTGTGCTGGAATGAAGCAAAAATCTCCTTTATTGAAAGCCCATGGATTGCCAATCTTATGTTCTACTGCTCCATCATCGTCATCCTCACCATCAGCTCCTGTAGGGCTCTTCCTGTAAGCCAGACCCGTTCTGAGTACTACTCCCACCTCCACCCTACCCCCAATAGATTATAGCCAAGGAGGGTGAGGCAGAGGGTGCAAAGTAAGTGGCTCAGGTCACTCTCCTCGTGAGTGTTCCCGCTTCTGGGCCTTTAAGAAGCACACTGCTTCCTATTGTGGCATTGCAAGCCCCATACACACCTGCCCCCATTTCATAGTAGAGGGAACAGCAGCTTCAGGGCTGGACACACTTGCTCAGGGTCACATGGTACATAGGTGAAGAAACAGATTTTAACCCAGGTTTTTCCTGTAAAGCCAGAATTCTTTCTGTTATCTCAGGCTGCCCAGAAGTTCGTGTGGGCTGCATGTGGGCTGTGCACATGATGATCACATTGAGGGGTGTGTATTGGAGCAGCTGGGGAGATGATGTACTGGAGTACAGCATCAAACTCTCATGGAAGGTCTCCATTCATAGCTCAGTGATCATGCAGTGTGGTGGCTATCTGCTCCCAGCTTGAAACTAGTGTGTCCTCTTACTTGGTTTCAGTTTAATTCTCAAATATCAAGAAGTGATGCCTGCCTGTCCTGGTCTGCAGCTCTGTTCTCTATCTGTGTGTTCTTCCCTCCCAAGCAAGCTCCTTGCTGACCTGAACAGAGGTAGGCAGTGGGGCCTGGTGTAGAAGAAAGAGCCCAGGTGTGGTTAGCACGTGTTCACCACCCCTTCGTCCAGTCCTTCTTTGGCCCTCGGCTTCGTCTCCTGTAAAATGGCAGAGACTGACCTGTATCAGTGCAGCAGTGGGTCATACAGATGTTTTATTGATGTTTGTACTGTCCTCTGGCCAGTCCATCCCTAGGCTTTGCAGGCTTGCCAGCATTACAAAGCTTTTCAAAGAGCCTAAGGGAGGGAAAGGCTTCATCCAGGCCCTGCTTTAGCCTCTCCCTCTTCTAGATGATTTCATCCACCTTCTAGGCATCATTTGCCAGGACTGCCACTTTGCACAGTTGATTGGTACCCTTGTGACTTACCATCTATCGATCAAAAACTGACATTCCTCTCTAGCCTTGATCTCTCCTTTTTTATATCCAAGCTAAAAGTGCACCGTTTTTCCTGTTTTCTCACCTAGAATCTGATAGTAGAAGTCGCCGAATCTTCCTGACTCTACTTGTATTTCACTCCTGACTCTACTTGTAGAGACTTCACCTCCTCAGTAGCTCCTAAATATGAATACTTGTGTCCACCCTCACCCAAACCCCCAGCCAGGTCTTTGCAGCTACTGTATTTTCTTCACAAAACTGCCTGAGTGATTTTTCTGTAACCAGTCAGGTAATGTCTTCATCTGCCCTTGTCGGAGCCCCTGTGAGGCATCTCTCTAGCATATCTCTTCCACTCCCCTTAGGTCTCTCTCTCCCTTGATCTCTGCATTGTCCCCACCCAGACCTTCTCCCACCTCTAAGGAACCTGTGTACACACTGTTCCTTCTTTCTAGAATAAAGTAGCCTTCCCTGTTGTCTCATTAATAATGCCTCTCCCTTTAGAACTCACATCAGCCACCACTTTCTCAGGGAAACTTTCTGAACCCTATTCCCCCATGTTTAAAGCAATTTCTCTTGTAGGTGATACATTCTCATTAATTCAGTTACTTAATCAGTCTGTCTTTCCACTAAACCATAGCTCCATCATTAGGATTATTCACAGTCAAATCTTCAGGGCCCGGGCACATATAGCCAAGGTCTGTTCCATGTTTGTGAATGAATGAGTGAATGAATCAGTGAGTGACTAGCTGGGCAGAGAGTGTCATATGAAGTGCCCTTGCTTGGTAGGTGAGTATTAAGGCCAAGTATGTGTGAAGTCGGTAGTTGGCTTCAGCTTGCCCCGCTTCACACCATCAGAGAATTGCTGCAATGGCTCAGAGTGGAAGTGATGTTTGTCGGCAATCCCTTGTTGCTCAGTGCCTGCTCACTCAACGGCTGGCAGCAGATTATTCCGTCAGGAGCCTGCCTGTTCATTACGTAGAAAGATGCTTTGGGCTAAAAATCTCAGATGGTAGATTTTACCCTACTCCCTTCCCTCCGTGACCCAGGAAAACAGGAAACAGTCGATGCCCTTAAAGAGTGCACAAGTGGGTAAGAAGCCAGGAACTCAGCACATTGTGCAAAGTAGCATCATTGGTGTACAAAATGGGACAGAGGCAATGCTGGTGGCAATACTAGTATTTGTTGCCTGCCTGCCCTGTTCCTGGTACTTAACTTGTATTAATCCCTTTATTTATTAGGAGGTGAGTACTTCCATCCCCATTTTACAGATGGGGAAATTGAGGCTAAGTGAGAATAAGTGACTTATCCAAAGTTATTCAGCTAGTCAGTGGCAGAGCCAGAGTTGGAACTGCAGTCAGAACCTCTCTCTCCACTACCACATGATGCTGCCTCCACAAGGAGAGCACGCAGAGGAGGGAGTGACAGCTGTGTCCTGGAGCGGCCAGATAGGGTTTCCCAGAGAGAGTGAAAGAGAAGTTGAGCTTAAAAGGAAAGGAGCAGGCCCAGAGGCCTGTGGGAGCTCTGAGAGTTTAGTGGTACAGCATCATGAAGGAGGAGAGGACGGTGATAGTAGAAGGTTAGGTAGGCCTGGGGCTAGTGAGCAAGAGCATGGGATGCCCAGCTAAAGAACTGCTGACGGCCCTGAAAGCCCATTTTGCCCTATGGTTCTGTCTGTGTGACTCTGCTGACCTCAGCAACCTCAGGGCTGAAGCTCTGAGCTTGCTCTGTCTCTCTTATGGCAGGAGAGGTGCTGAGAGGGGACCGGATTGTCAACACCCCTTTCCAGGTTCTCATGAATAGTGAGAAGAAATGCGAGGTTCTGTGCAGCCAGTCCCATAAGCCCATGACCCTGACAGTGGAGCAGAGCCGGCTTGTGGCCGAGAGGATCACAGAGGACTACTATGTCCACCTGTAAGTTGGCCTCTGCTCCCTGCCAGCATTGAATTCCTGTAGGGGAGGGCATTGCTGGGAGAGGCATGCAGGGGCACTGAGCGGGGCCTTGGGTTTCCAGCATTGCTGACAATCTGCCTGTGGCCACACGGCTGGAGCTCTATTCCAATCGCGACAGCGATGACAAGAAAAAGGAAAAAGATGTGCAGTTTGAACATGGCTACCGGCTCGGCTTCATGGATGTCAACAAGGTAGAGTATCTCCTGCCTGCTCAGTCCAAGTGTTGGGGGAAGCCTGCTCTGCTTCTCCTGACAGCCCTGGGTCTAGTCTGCTAGAAGCCTGAGTGCTTTGGGCCAGGCTCTGATAAATGCTGCAAGGAGGTAGAAGGTAGTGTTCCAACAAGTTCAGATTCCATTTTTAGAAGATTAAAAGTAAGCCCCACCCCACCCCCTAAAAAAGCTGGAATCTTTGTTGTATATGTTCTTGTTAAGTGCTATTGAGTCGGTTCCAACCCATAGTGACCCTGTATAGGGTTTTCAAGGAGCAACTGGTGAGCTTGAACCACCGACCTTACGGTTCAAACCAATTTTGCAGTCCAGCGCATTAACCCACAGCACCACACCAGGACTTACTGTATATGAGGGCATCAAAAAGTTTGTAGAAAAATTCCACTTTTTTTTTTTTTTTTCATTTAATTTCTCCACACTTTTGGACACCGCCTCATATAGGAAAGAAAGGGTTTCTAAGGCTGAAATCTTTATGGACGTAGGCAACCTCATCTTTCTACCAAGCGGTAGATGGTGGTTTCAAACTGCCAAGCTTTGTGTTAGCAGCCAAGAGCTTAACCACTGTGCCACCTGGGCTCCTTCCTTGTAGCACTCAGATCAAATTCAGACTCACTGTTGGCTGACTAGTGGCTTCCAACTCATAACCTGTGTAGGGTTTCCCAGGCTGTGAACCTTTACAGGAGCAGACAGCTTCATCTTTCTCTGGTGGGTTTGAACTGCCAACCCTATGGTTAGCAGTCCAGTGCTTATCCTCCTACACCATCATAGTGGCGATGTTTGTAACAGTGATTCTCTTTGCTTATGTTACTAATTTTCTAAATTGGTAAATCTCACTTAGGGATTGAACACAAAAAGCATTTCTTTTGAGGCACAGCCTCATCCTGAAAGGGTTTCTGTCCTAACTGGGAGGGGAAGTGGCCTGGATCTTAAGCCCCACCTGCCTTCACCAACTGTCATTGCCAGTGGAGCTCTGAGGGAACTCACTGTGAGTTCAGACCACCACAGAAGAGGTGGATCTTGAAAATGGGTTGCCTTGAGCTGGGTGGAGGTGGGGTGGCATTCCAGTGGGATGAATGCTGTAAACAGAGGGGCATCGAGACTGTGGGGCAGGGAGGGGCTGGGTAGGCCAGCTAGATGCATGTGGCTCAGAAAATGATGATGATAGGTATATTCTGGTAAGGTGATAGAAGGCTCTGAGTACCATGCCAAGGAATTTGGGCTGCTTCTATCTGATAAATCCAGAAAGCAGCATGGTAAGTGTTTCTGGAAGGTTGGCACAGCTGAGCATGCTGGACGAGGAAGGGACTGACCCAGTGCCTGGCATGGTAAGGGCTTAGTTTCTAGCTCTTTTGTTGTCTGTGTTGCTCTGTTTTAGATCTACTTGCACAATCACCTCTCGTTCATCCTTTACTACCACCGGGAGGACCTGGAAGAGGACCAAGAGCATACATATCGCGTCGTCCGCTTCGAGGTGATTCCCCAGAGCATCAGGCTGGAGGGTGAGTGGGGAGGTCTGAGCAGAGGGGCAGGGCTGGACGGGGCTGGGCTTCCACATGAACAGTCTCCTCTTACTTGGCTCCTGAAGGGCCCTGCAGCCTGCTAAGGCCCAGAGTATGACACATGGGCCTAGCCGAGCTAGCAATACTGCATTCCCATTCATGCATCTGTTGTATCTGTGGTGGTTAGAGAGCTTAGTGACCTGGCTAAGATGAAGCAGCAAGTGTGGGCTGTCCTGGGCCTCTTCACAAGAACCAGCTAGCTCACCTTGGGTTGAAGAACATGGGGTAGGGATACAGACAAAGCAATTGGATAACAAGTTTCTTCTGTTTCTCTCCCACTGCGGGAATTATTAGCATAAACTAAAATTTGCCCAGGGCCAGCTGAGAGGGAATTCGAGAGCCTGGCCCCAGTCCAGTGTCACCTCACCTGTCAGCCCTCTCTCACCACAGGGCTCTGCAGGCAAGCAGGCCTGGCCTTTTGCCCACAGTAGTGGTTTTCTAGTGTTTAAAAAATTCTCTGACACTGTTATTTTTCAATTAAGTCTTACATAGACGTTTTATATAGAGCCTACATGCCACATTTTCAGAAACACCATACTTCTTTTCCTTCAGTTGCTATAACCGTCATGCACATAAATGAATATGTGCTCAGAATTTCATGAGCACATATTCATTTATGTGCATGACGGTTATAGCAACTGTGTCTTCCCTCACTGTTCATCAGCTCTTTGAGATTAGGGACTGTTAAGCAACCTACACAGGACCTGGCACTTACCCTAAACCCACTGCCATTAAGTTGAAACTGACTCATGGTGACCCTGCGTAGGGCTTCCAAGGCTATGAATCTCTATGGGAGCAGAAAGTCTCCTCTTACTCGTGTGGAATGTCTGGTGGATTTGAACTGCTGACCTTGTGGTTATCAGGGCTTCTCCCTGATACTGTTGTTGTTAAGCACTGTTAAGTCAGTTCTAACTCATAGCTACCCTCTAAAGGGTTTCCAAGAAGTGGCTGGTGAGTTTGAACTGCCAACCTTGTGGTTCGCAGTCCAGCGCTGATCCTCCAGGGCCACCCCAGCAGTCTCCTTGCCACATAGTAGGTCCTTATTGGATGTCTGATGGTTGAAGGATTGGGTGGATGACCTGATAAACAAGCGAGTAAAGTGACCAAAGGAAGCATCCCAGGGACTGAATCACTAAAGTGCAAAAGGACTGGCTCAGTAAATGGTCAACACAGGATAATAGAAGGAGTCAGTGTTGTCTTGTGTGTCAAACAGGATTGACTGAGTGAGTAAATGATTGTGTGGATTGAGTGAAGAGAGATCTACTGACTGAACAAGAGACCCAGACCCAGCCCTTCATGCACACACCTCTGCAGTCCCTGCAACACTATGGGAGGTCAGGGTTCCTGGGAGCACATTTAAAAGTCATTGTCGCCAGCTATCCCAGTCTCCACTCGGATCCTGAAGGCCAGGCTCCCGACAGCACACAGGTCCCCAGGAACAGGCTGGTCTCTGTCTCTCACAGACCTCAAAACTGATGACAAGAGTTCATGTACCCTGCCTGAGGGCACTAGCTCCTCGCCCCAAGAAATTGACCCCACCAAGGAGAATCAGCTGTTCTTCACCTACTCTGTACATTGGGAGGTAAGAAGGGTCCAGAGCCCATGGGCAAGGGAGGAGGCTCCTGGTCTGGCCCAAGAGTTTTCTTATAGGAAACCTGCCTCTAAGTGTCCCCCTTCAACTCCCCCAGGAAAGTGACATCAAGTGGGCCTCTCGGTGGGACACTTACCTGACCATGAGCGATGTGCAGATCCACTGGTTCTCCATTGTCAACTCAGTCGTGGTGGTGTTCTTCCTGTCAGGTGAGGGGCCTCAGGGGCCTCATGAGTCAGCAGCTAGGGAGGGCTGATAAATGGCTGCAAAGGTCTTGTGGGGCCGCAGTGGGGGTCAAAAATAGCCATAAGGTGTTCAACGACAAACAAGATTCACTCCACTGTGGAGTCTTGCCAGAGGAAGACAGATAGATCTGTTTACACGTTCATTCAGTGCTTCATTCAGCAGAGCTTTGGTAGCTGCTCATTCTGTGTCAGATGCTGGGATATGGTGTGCAGCAAGCCCGCCCAGCTCCTGCCTTCACTAGACTCTACCCTCCAGTGGCAGAACAGAGACAAAAAAGCAAGCAGTGGAATTCTTGTTAGTGAGAAGCATGTAACATGGCAACCGAGTCCACAGCAACTAAGGGGAAGGTAGAGTCTGTTTTAGAGGCATCTCTAATAGGAGGAGGTGCTGAGAAAGAGTATTCCAGTAAGGACCACGCACTGCAGTGGGACAAGCTTGTCAAGGAGCCAGTTGGTGAGAGGGTGCTGAGCCAGGGTGCTAGGAATGGACAGAGGTGGAATAAACTAGTCTCTTCTCTATCATATGACAAGTAAAGACAACGTGGTGGTTGTTAGCTGCTGTCAAGTCGGCCCCCGGCTCTTGGTAGCCCCAAGCACAGTGGGATCAGAGCACAGACCCACAGGGCTTTCATTCACTGAATTTCAGGAAGTAGATCATAAGGACTTTGCCAAAGATAATGTTAGCTACTGTTTATGAAGTATTTTCTCAAGGGCCAACTACTGTCCTAATAAGCACTTTACAAACATCTGAGTCCTTGAAGCCCCGTAAGCTAAGCCTAAAAGCATGAACTACGTTAACTCAAGTTTGTACAGTCCATTCTCTTAACCACTACATTCTGCTTCCTGGAGAGGTACATGAGACTCTATGGAAGTACAAATGGGGGGCCTCTGAATTGTTTGGGGTGTCAAGAGGCGAAGATGTCCAGTCTGAATCTTGAGGCTAGAAGAGAAATTAGTCAGGGTAGGGAAGGGTATTCTGGTCCAGGGTAATAGCCAGATTAAAGGCATAGAGGGAAAAACGATGATGCTTGGAACTGGTAACAAAGCAACAAATAACCAAAAATAAGTGGGAGATGAGCCTGGGAGGAGCTGAGGCTGGAGATGTTGGTAAGACCAACCCATGCCATGGAGGAGCTGGAATGCTGTTCTCCCGGGAAGAAAAGCAGTGCCGCCCCTGGTAGCTATAGCGGAGCTACGCCCAGTAGAGGACCTGAAATGGCTTCACAGCCAGCTTCTGTCATGCCGGTGTCACACACACTGGATCACCAAATGCAGGAGGGCATGGCGCACAGACGTCATGGCCAGCAGGGCTGACAAGTCCTCCTCAACCCGGTCTGTTTCAGGCATCCTGAGCATGATCATCATTCGGACCCTCCGGAAGGACATCGCCAACTATAACAAGGAGGATGACATTGTACGAGGTCTTGACTGGGGAGGGAGGGACTGGGAGACAGGAGGGACTCAGAAACTACCACTGTTTTGGTTTTTGTTTCAGTAATATTGAGACAAGCCCCTTCACATACCACCCATGACAGTGTGAACTGTTGGCTGAAAAGCAATTGGCAGTACATGTCAGGAACTGTAAAGTAGTTAACTTACTGTGACAGTGTGATTCTTTTAGAATTTTTCTTAAGAATCAAAACCTCACACTTAGACTTTGTCCACAGATATTTATTGCAGCTTTATTTATATTTGCAAGAAACTACATAGAATGGTTGAACAATATGGTTAACATAACTAAAGCCATGAATTGTACATATGAAGAATGTTGAGAAGAGAAATGATCGGTTACATGTATCATACTAAAAACAATAAAAAAAAAGAAACTACATAGAGCCTAATTTCTTCTCAGCAGAGTGAGGTTAGATTGATACAGCTCTACGGTGAAAATTCCTACAGACATTAAAATAGAATTTTCAAAGCATGTTGGCATGAGAAAATGCTCACAGCCAAACATCAGCCCAGATGACAAAGTACAGTCAATCTAGTATGCTTATACACGTGTATATACATGAAAGACTGAAGAGAACCTGTGAAAACAGTGTGGCACTAAGTGGTGGAAATAGAAAACAGTGGTTTCTTTTCCATTGTTATCTTCTGTTGAATTGGTTCCAACTCATAATGATGCTATATAGTGTTTCTGAGGAAGCGTAGACAGTTTGAACTACTGACCTGGTGGCTAGCAGTCCAGTGCCTGTCTTACAGCACCACACCAGTTATAATTTTCTATATTTTTTAAGTTTTCCCATATCAGCATTTATCACTTGGTGTTTCATGTCATGCACTATAAAAATGGGCTTTTTATTCCACAAGTAAGAACACATATTAGTTTTCTAACCAGAAAAAAATAAGTAACTGCTTATAAATCTCACCATCCCAAAACTATGGCAGTTATGGTTTCCGTTGGTTGATGTACTTGCTTTGGGAAGATGTTCCTTTTCCTGAGCTATACCCATCATGTGTGACCCATGTGATACTTTACTGAGGAACACTTTCTCATGTTACTGACACACCTGTGTTTGGAAACAGGAAGGGCTAGTTGGCACCTGAGGGACCCTCAGCTTGGGTCAGAGAATATGGATCTTAGGGGTTGGTCCCTGCAGGACCTGTCTCCTTTTCCTAAGAAGTTCATTCTGGTCCTTTGTAGGAGGACACCATGGAAGAGTCAGGGTGGAAGCTGGTGCATGGTGACGTCTTCAGGCCACCTCAGTACCCCATGATTCTCAGCTCCCTGCTGGGCTCAGGCATTCAGCTCTTCTGTATGATCCTCATCGTCATCTGTGAGTGGGCCCAACAGGACCAGGCATGGGGCTGTCATGAGAGGAGCATGGAGCCTGATCTCTGGGAGAGCAGGGTGGGCATCTCAGCATTCCTGGGCCAGACAGAGGGCTGGGTCCTCTCAGCCTCAGGCCCTGGTCATAGTGGCCCTTCTCACAGCTTCCCAACACTGTGCACAGAGCCCACCTTGTCTGCTCAAAGTCAGTGCCAGGGTTAGGATTGGAACTAGGTCTTTTTTCCAAAGCAGAAAGCTACTATATAGTTGTTATTAACAGTCTGTAGGGCTTTGTTGTTGTTAAGTGCTGTTGAGTCGGTTCCTACCCATAGTGACCCTTTATAAGGTTTCCAAGGAGTGGCTGGTGAGCTTGAACCGCTGTCCTTGCTGTTCAAACCTTGTAGTCCAGCGCATTAACCCACAAGGCCATATCAGGACCTATGGCACACTACTTCACCTCCGTGGAGACGGTAGCCTCTAACTTGCAGGGTTGATGGCTGGATTCAGTGAGCCAGCATCTGTAATGCTCTTAATCCAGTGCCTGACTTGTCGCAGGTGCTCTGCAGGCTGGAAGCTATAGGTAAGAGTAAGATGGCCGAGGCCTAGTAGCTGAACCCTAGTAAAGACCCCAGTCATCTCCTTCCAGAGGGAGGGAACTACGCGTTGAAAACACCCAGCTCAGAAAGGACTTTGAGTCAGCTGAGGGTGGAGGCTGGGGTTGGGGACCTGATGTTTAGCCTTCCTGACTCGCTCCCCTCTCTGCTTCCTCCACAGTTGTGGCCATGCTTGGCATGCTGTCACCCTCCAGCCGGGGGGCTCTCATGACCACAGCCTGCTTCCTCTTCATGTTCATGGGGTCGGTATGACTGTGTGGGCTCTGGGGGCTGCCACAGACCTCCTTCCCTCCAGTTAACAGGTCCCTTTGATGTGACTCCCTGTTGTTTTCCCACAGGGTGTTTGGTGGATTTTCTGCTGGCCGTCTGTATCGCACTCTAAAAGGCCACCGGTGGAAGAAGGGAGCCTTCTGTGTAAGTATCCTAAATCTCCCGGTGGTGGTTGGTGGAGAACTAGAGGCTTCTTACTGGACTGAACCAGAGCAGCTGGAGCCCAGCAACAGAGCCGAGAAGCCCTAGGGGGTTTCAAGGCCAGGGGTTGAGTGGCAGCATGGCTGGGCAGAAAGAACATATGTCAAGGGCCAGAGATAGGCTCTTACCCACAGGCTCCCAGAGGGACCTCTGAGGTCCGTAGATGCCCCAATCATAGAGTTAGAGGATTGAATTTCAGTGATTTGGGGGCTTACATTGTTCAGTGGTTCAAGCAAGAGAAGGGATTTAGAACGTCAGGATTTAGGCATGAAGCCCAGGTATCAAGGTTTAGGGTCAAAAATTGATCAGTTAGGCTGCTGGGAGAACACCCTGCCCAACAGAGTGAAGAGCGAAGAGGCCAGGCCACACCCACATTGCCATTAGCCCATTTCCCAGACTTCACTGCCTCCTTTCCTTGCCAGTCTCCTAGTGGCAGCAAAAAAGACCCTAAAAACTGGAGGAAGACTGAATTTTAGACCTCACCTCCCAGGAGCTCTAAGCCCTCTTGCCCAGAGCAAATAAGTCCTGTCCCGTAGTGAACCAGGAAAGCCCTCTGTTGCCCCTTGCCTTATGAAACTGTTTTCACAGTTGTCAAAAGGCCAAGCCCAGACCTCGTGAACTGTGGCTGCCATGCCCCTGTCACATACTAGGCTTTCAGTGAAAAAGAGAGATGATGGTTGTTATTGAGGAAGAATCAAAGGGAAATTGCTAAATTTCTGCTACATCAAGTATTTTTCTTAGGCCACTGTGAACTAGGACCCAGAGAGGAGTAAAACACTGCTTTCCTCCCCAGTAAGACTTTCCTTGGGTGAGGTTTCCACTTAGGTCCCCTCTGCCATCTGCCCTCAACAGAAACCCAAGCTCTTCCCCAAACCTGATGCTAGCATTCAATGGCAGCATCCCTCACCCAGTCCCCAAGCAGAAAGCTGGGTAGCTTGGTTTTTCACCCACAGGCTGTGTCCCACCTCTTGGGACATAAGAGTTTTGAGGGTGTTCTTGATGAATGTTCCATAAATTCCTACCTCTCCATCTCAAAGGAGCCATGGTGGCACAGTGGTTAAGCACTCAGCTGCCAACCAAAAAGTTGGCAGTTTGAACCCACCAGTCTCTCCATGTGAGAAAGATGAGGCAGATCACAGCCTTGAAGGCCCTATGGGCAGTTCTACTGTGTCCTGTAGGGTTGCTGTGAGTCCAAGTCAGCTCTGTGGCAGTGGGTTTGGCTTTTGATCTCCAGAGCTCAGACCTAAGTTCAGGCATCTTTGTGTCTCACCTGGACCCTTGACCTTCCTGGTCTCCCTACAAGGTTCTGATCTTCCCTCTAGAAGTTTCCTTCTTCTTCTACCATTTTAACCTCAGCAAAGGTGCCTGGGCAGAGCCTTATGCCTAGAAGTTGTTGTTAAGTGCTGTCAAGTCAGTTCCGACCCATAGCAACCCTGTAAAGAGTTTCCAAGGAGCAGCTGGTAAGCTTGAACTGCTGATCTTGCAATTCAAGCAGCTTTGCAGTCTGATGCATTAACCCACAGCACCACACCAGGACTCCTGTGCCTAGAAGTTGTTGCTGTTAAGTACCGTGGAGTCAGTTCTGACTCATAGTGACCCTGCACAGGATTTCCGAGGCTGCAAATCTTTATGGGAGCAGAAAACCTCGTCTTTCTCCCATTTCAAACTGTCGACGAACGTGAGGTTAGCAGCCCGATTCATAACCACTACATTACCAGAGCTCCTTGAAGCAATGCCCTGTGTATTGTTTTTTCCTTTATGGATTTATCTTCTTCCTTGGAACTTTTTTTTTCCCTGTTTGTCCCCTTAGTATTTAACACAGTGCCTGCTTCATACATTTTATCTAGAAGAAGATAAAGAATCCCCTGCTATACAGAGTAAATTAGGAATGCAAAAGAAGGGAGGAAATGCCCTTTGAGCTGGTCCTAAAAGTTGAGGGTTCCAGTTGAAGGAATATAGTCAGCAGTGGACCTAAGATTTTGGCATCTCATAGGTTCCCTCATGGCTCTGTTCTGTCGTCATTTTCTCCATCTCTCTCCAGTGGGGCTAGTCAAGTCTCATGGTTGTTCCATGGATGGAAAGAGACCATGTATATACAAGATTCCTTGCCTAACGCTGGCACTTGAAGCAGAGGCTCTGAGGTGTTGATAACTCCATCTACATAGGAATGAGGGCCAGAGGTGAAACAGGCAGTAGCGGGTGGGCACCAGATTGCGTTTCATTCAGTGTGGTCAGTGACCTGCCTGGAGGCTCCAGCAAGAAGGAACATGAGCTATATAGGTCAGAAACATTGGTTCCATGTGCCTGAGTCCAGCCTACAAAGTTGGACTAAGTAATAGACAGCATGGTGGGTTGAGAGCCTGGCTACTGGGCCCTCCTCCTGGGTTGGAACCTCTGCTCTACCCTGAGCTGACAGTGTAAAGTTGAGGGGAAAGAGGAGGTTTTCATTGCTGGATTCAGTGTCCTCATCTATAAAAGGGAATGATGGTGGTCACTTTTCCCACCTAGAACTGCACTGGGGATCCGCTGAGATGATACATGCAGAGCCCAGCGTCTGCCACTGAGACACAAAGCTGAGCTGCCATTGTATTGCTGTCATAGTCTGGGTGCTTTAGATTGGGACCAAAACAGAAAAGACATTCTCCTCTAATTCACTTTTTTCTACAGACTTTCTGAAGCCATCTCATACATGTTTTGGAAAGTTTTATCCATTTGTTTACTTACGTGACAAATAGCATCTACTATGTTACAAGTGCTGAGGGTACACCAGTAATGGGCTCCCCATCTGTTGGGGTGAGACAGACGTTTCTCAGGTAACAAAAATGCAAACTGGAATGAGGACAAGGAAGGGCAATTCAGGGATCTAAGAGGGCAGAAAGCAGGGCCCTCTAGTCTAGGGGTCAGGGAAAGCTTTCCCTGATAAGCATCAGTCCTGAGGCTAAGTCCTGAAGGATAGGAGTGATTGAGAACCTCTGATCTGGATGCCCACGGGGCTATATGGGAGCACCCTGGATGCAGCTCTCCAGCCTGACCCCTCTTACTTCCAGACAGCAACATTATACCCTGGGGTGGTGTTCGGCATCTGCTTCGTGTTAAATTGCTTCATCTGGGGAAAGCACTCTTCAGGAGCGGTAAGTGCCCTTCCCCACCCCCTGCAAGGGAGCCTCAGCTGTGCTCAGCCCCACTTCCCCAGGTCACTTCCTGCTGCTCCCCTTCCCTTTTCTGAGTCCCCAGAGCTCTGTTCCTTGTCCCTGGGACTGAGGGCTGACGGGGTTTCCCCAGCCCCGTCCATTCATCTGCCCCTGCCCTGGCCTTCCTGTGGACTCTTGCAGACAGCTGGCCAAAACTCACTTCTCTAATGGGAGGTTTCCATAGTGCAGGGGCCTACTGGGGAATTTCCCTTTACTCTCAGGCAGTGGAGAACAGCCCAGTGTGAGTGTCTTCAGCCTTTACCTCCCAGTTCCAGCCCCCACAGGTGGAGACTGAGAGGAAGGGGAAGATTCTGCTAGCCCCATCTACCGCTGGCAGCTGCTTGGCTTCATGAGTAGGATTGTGAGCTCAGTTGTGGGTGAGGGAGACTGGGTCTTCATCAAGTACTGAGCTTTGCAGTGGGGGTGGGACAGACATTTGCCAGCTCCTCTAACTGCAGGTGCCTCAATTAAAGAGCTTCCAGTGAGCTCCAAGTCAGCCAGCCAGAGGTAGAGCCTGCTCTTCATGCTTACTTCTCCATCTCACAACGTTTTTCTCCCAGTGTCTCACAGCATTTTTATCCAAATTAGGAACTGCACACTTATTGTAGAGAATTTGGGAAGGTACAGAGAATTTAAAGAAGATAATAAAATAACGCATAATCCAAAGCACCCAGGGGTAAATACTCTCTAGATTATTATACATTCTTTCCATTTCTTTTCTTTTGTATAGATAAGAGTTTTTAAAGGAGCTGTCTAATTTTCAAATTATACTTGGAGCCATCGGAATGTGGAAATAATCTAACAATATCATTGATAACATTTTTCTTAAGATAATTCAAAATGGCTGCAAGAAACACATTAACAGGGGCCAAAAATTCAAGCTCAGAAGAGGAGGTAAAATGAGGAAAATCATTGCTGATGTCAGATGACTCTTGGCTGAAAGCAGAGAATATCAGAATAATGTTTACTTGTGCATTATTGACTTTTGACTAAATTATGGCAAGCTATGGATTTAAACTAAATGTTTAAAGACCTGGAGTTAGAAAACCAAACAGGAAGAACATGCTCAGCATTTCTCAAACTGAGGGAACTGAAAAAAAATTCAAAGCCTCAACCTGCAATATTGAAGGATCCTATGGCAAAAAAATGGAGCCCTGCTATGTATGGTACTGTGGGTAAATGCATTGGATTGCAAAGTCAATTTGAACAACAAGGTCAGCAGTTCAAGCTCACCAGTTGCTCCTTGGAAACCCTGTATGGGTCTCTACCGACTTGACCGCACTTAACAACAACAACAAAATATTGAAATGCAGAAAGGATGGAAGGAATACACAGAGTCACTCTATCAAAAAGAAATGGTCGATTGTCAACCATTTCAAGAGGTAACATGTGGTCAGGAGCCACTGAAGGAAGAAGTCCAAGTTGCATTGAATTTTAGGCAAAGAACAAGACTCTGGGAAATAGAAATCTTTTAACAAACTGATGATGCACTGGAGGCACTCACTCATCTATGCCAAGAAATTTGGGAGACAACTACCTGGTCAACTGACTCGAAGAGATCCATATTTGTGCTCCTTCCAAAAAGAAGTGACCCAATGGAATGCAGAAGTCATTAGACAATATCATTAAAAATAACTGCACCAGAACTTTCAGAGGTTTGAGCCAAATTCAGAGGAGAACGTGGAATGAGGGATATCATTGCTGATGTCAGATGGATCTTGGCTGAAAGCAGAGAATACCAGAAAGATGTTTACCTGTGCTTTATTAACTAGGCAAAAACTTTCGATTGTGTGGCTCATAATAATCTATGGATAACATTGCAGAGAGTGAGCATTATTGTGCTAATAAGGAACCTGTATGTAGACGAAGAGGCAGTTGTTCAAACAGAACAAGGAAACAGTGAGTGGTTTAAAATTAGCAAAGGTGTGTACTAGGATTGTATTCTTTCACCATACTTACTCAATCTATGCTGATCACATAATCTAAGCAGCTGGATTGTATGAGGAAAAATGTGGCATCAGAATTGGAGGAAGACTCATTAACCTGTGATATGCAGATGATACAACCTTGCTTGCTGAAAGTAAAAAGGACTTAAAATACTTACTGAGGAAGATAAAGACCACACACAACCTTTGGTATGGGTTGCATCTCAATGTAAAGAAAACAAAAATCCTCACCACTGAACCAATAAACAATATCCACATAAATAGAGAAAAGACTGAAATTGTCAAAGACTTCATTTTGTTTGGATCAACCATCAATACTCAATAGAAGCAGCAGTCAAGAAATCAGGTGAATATGCTGCACAAGACCTCTTTAAAGTGTTGAAGAGCAAAGGTGTCAGTTTGAGAACTAAGATGGGCCTGACCCAAGCCATGGTATTTTCAGTAATCTAGTAATCTTATATGCATGTGAAAGCTGGACAGTGAGTAAGGAAGACCACAAAAGAATTGATGCATATGAGTTATGGTATTAGAGGAGAATATTAGAAGTACCATGGACTGCCAAAAGAACAAATTAATCTGTGTTGGAAGAAGTATAGCCAGAATGCTCCTTTGAAGCCAGGATGGAAAAGTGGAGGGTCGCAGAAATAAAAGGAAGTGTGTCCCGTCTCCCCTACCCCCATCCCCACCCCCGCCAACTAGATGAATTGACAAAGTAAGTGGCAGCAGCAGTGGGCTCAAACATAGCAATGATTGTGAGGTTGGTGCAGGACTGGGCAGTGTTTTGTTCTGTTGTGCACAGGCTTACTATGAGTCGGTATCTACTCAGTGGCACCTAACAACAAACAACACGTGGATAATATTACAAAGAATGGGTATTCCAGAACACTTGATTGTGCTCATGAGGAATCTTTACATAGACCAAGAGGCAGTCATTAGAACAAGAGGATACCAAGTGGTTTAAGATCAGAAAAAGTGTGCACTTGAAAAGGTTGTATTCTTTTACCATACTTATTCAATTGTTAGTCAAGTAATCTGAGATGTTGGATCATATCAAAAAGGTGGCATCAGGATTGGAGAAAGACTGAACAGTCAACTTTCAGGGAAGCAGCAGTCAAGTTATCAAATGATGGTGGAACAAAACTCAGAATTATTTTTTTTTTTAAATGGCTTAGTGGTCAGAAAGAGACTAGAGGAACCCAAAACTATGGCCCTCGACCATCTTTCAGGTCTGAAAAGGAACTCACCTTCATAGCCCAGTTTTCAGCCAAGCCATAGATAGGTGTATGTTGTTGTTGTCAGGTGCCATCGAGTCGGAACCGACTCATAGCGACCCCATGCACAGCAGAACAAAACAATGTCTGATCCTGGGCCAACCTCACTACCGCTGCCACACTTGACGCCATCAATGATGTCACCTGGCTGATCCATCTCG